GCAAAACATGTGTAACATTTGTCATGCCAATAAAGCAATCATTGAATGGAATTGAATTGAGAGAGAGAGAGAGAGGGAGAGGTTTGCCTCCTTTAAAACTCTTCTATGTCTTTTGTCAGAGGGAGACTGAGCAGAGGTACACTGGGCATCTTGTTTTTGTTTCACTTGTTTTCTGTAAGTGTCTATAAAGGCTGCTTGTATTGTTGCTGTGTTTGAATTTCTTATAACAAATATTGCTTGTGCAACGCTTTTTAAGCTGAAGACCACCACAACACGCTGCGTTATGTCTCTGCCATCGTGTCATTCCGTAATGCAAAGGTGTGTGCGACTTGCATGTGTTGAGTACATAAGTTATCTGAAAGGCACATGATCGTTCACGTGATATTTCGCCGCAGATTGATTGGTGTAACGTCTTGTATACAAAGCGTCACTGACAAGCCTGTACACAGCGCCAAAACATTTAGTTATGCAGAAATTATTAAAATATAGTTAAAATATTGATACTTAAAAAAAATATCGATACCAAATTAAAATCTTCCGAGTATCGATATATCAATACTCGAGAATCGATGTGCTCATCCCTAAGTTATAGTAAATTGAAACTGTGTCAGTCCAGTTTTCAGAGTTTCTTACATAACTGATCATAAGTCATTTTGGTCATATTGATAAGACAGATTTGAAAGCTGTAAATGGCCTAATTTTATTAATATTTATTCATAATTACAACAAAATGTTTTTCTAAAATTTGTAAAGCAGACAAGGAACACTTGTTCATTCTGTGCCTGACTGGTAAACGCATAAAAAAAAAGTTCTGGGGTAACAGCTGAACAAACAGCTGAATATTTGCCTCGCAGACATGAGACATACCTGTACAGCATCTGCATAAAGGCTAGAATGTGCACCTTTCCCTTTGTGTGCTGATGGGTCATTTTTATCCATTCTGGGGTGACTTTGAATCTTAATTTGGCCAAAACTTTCTCTGTTTCAGCAAACGGACTGTTATTTGGGGACATCTTATTTTGACATATTCTGGAAAAATGCTTTGAAATAAAAAATAAAAACTCAATACACTCTGGGCAAATTTACTCCCTTTTCGTTATATTCATGGCTGTTTTTTTCTCCATTTGCCTCTATTATAACAAATTTTTTTTGATTGCAAAGCCATGACAGCATATAATCATGCATTTATGATTGTTGGTGTTTCCTGTGACGACACTCTACATTGTTTAATTGGTCTCCACCCATGAGACGGCAAAAAGGAAATGGGTGAGAGTATAAAGGAAAAGGAGGAGAGTTGAAGAGGTTGACTGAACTGTTGCAGTGCAGGGAAACAAGAAGAGAAACCGGGTCGAGACACGCATTGTAAACTTAACAACTGGCTGTGAGAAACAAAAAGCAAAAGTATGTATTGAAGCAACAGAGCAAAGACCGCTGTCTTGTTACTGAAGTGCTCGTGACGTCGGCAAAGAGTTTAGTGCAGTGTGTCCTGAACAAAATCAACTTACCAATTTATCTCGCTGGCATGGAGTCAGCTGCCGACTCACCAGCCCGGTTCAATGACGCCCTCAACCTTCCCATCCACACCTCCACATTCGCTATTTCCCTTGATCCCTCCGCTCCGTGGATAAGAAGCAAAAGTTCTTGTTTTCTTTGCCCAAATTCTCATTTTGTTTCTCTTGTTAAGTTTTCTCCCCGTACTATTATTATCAGTATTACTTTTCCTCGTTTTCAAATCTGACGAATCTGCTGGCCTGAAATAATTTGCATTTTTTTTCTTTTGACGCGAATGGTGCGGTGTGAATGGCGCGATGCGAATTGAGCATTTTGCGCGTTTCACGTGAAATGCTCGAGTTCAAAAATGTGAACTTTAGCGGACATTCACACTGCATTACCAATCAGGAGCTTGCTCTTGTGGTGGCGTGATTGTGACGTAGCGCCTGTTGTTGGTGTCCCGGGGGAAATCGGCTGGGTCAATTGGCATTTCTCTGTGGAGTTTGCATGTTCTCCCTGCATTCGCGTGGGTTTCCCCCACAGTCCAAAGACATGTGGTACAGGTCAATTGGGTGGGCTAAATTGTTTGTAGTGTAGGAGTGTGTACGGATGTTTCCCCAGAAATGGGTTGCGCCTGGAAGGGTATTCACTGCGTAAAACATGTGCTGGATAAGTTTGCAGTCCATTCCACTGTGGCGACCACAGATTAATAAAGGGACTAAGCCGAAAAGAAAAGGAATGAATGTTTTTACTTATTTTATATAGCGCCAGTGCTCAAGGACGAAACAAACAGTAGGAGAACGAGAAAAGCAATAACTTTAAGAGCGGTACGCTTGTAGTGTGAGCAAGAATGCTCACTGAACAGTGCAGCATCGATGACGTAAGCGTGCCCAGGCCCGATTGTAATGTGAGCACGGGCCGTCGGGGGAAATGGGGGGGGGGGACAAGCGTGCTTTGGACCAGTTCGAGGCAACTGTACATAGTGTGAGTACGGTCTAATAATACATAAAAAAATGACAAAAGACATGAGAACAAGTAACAAGAAAGAAACTCATTCCTGTCTTTCAATGAGTGCTTATGTGCATTTAGGAGAACTAGGCAGCACACTCAGGGCTGCAAGATGGATTTAATTTAGTATTATTATTATTAAAATATATCTGAATGAGGATCAAATGACTGAGTTGGTCTTTGAGAATGAAAACCAACCTGTTTGTTCCTGCAGATCTTCCTGTTTGACTGTGAATGTTTCTTTAATCCTCACATCTTCACTCTCCTCTTTTATAAACGCCATCTTTATAACAGTGTGGAGATCAGTCACTTTAGCGGTAGTTTTTAATCTGCGTTTGGACACTTTATTCTGTTTAAAATGAACAAAACAATAAAAATGTCCTGTTTAAAATAAATAAAACAATGAACAGAAACAAAATAACTTCTCTTCAACACTTGCTTCAACAGTTTCTTTATATGAGAGTCATTAACAAAAAAAAAAATCAGGTAAGTCTGAGCAAGAAACAATAGCCATAGAGGTAAAGTGAGTTTTATATTCGCACATTCGTTCATTTAAAAGTCTCTGTATTGTTTACCATGTTACTTTGAATATTCGATCGGAATTAGCATGCAAGTGTGACTTGAAAACATCATCAACACTGTTTATTTGACTGTGAACAATGTTGTACTTTGATAGTCATTTTCTGCTAATATGATTTCACTATTTAAAGTTTGCAAATAACACTTTTATGAAATTATATTATTAAGGGGAAAGTCTGAATGTGGGAATATAAAACCAACTTTACCTCAATACAATAGCCACCAATGAGCTGATTGAAAATAGTACTCTATTTCTTATATAAAGTAATGTATACTTAGAATGAAATAACATTATGCTATTTAATAAATTAAATCTTCATTAAAAGACTCATTAAAAGACGTATTACACACATCTCTGTTAACTTATTCAAACAATAGCCCTCATTACTGTAAGTAAAATAGTACTTCGTTGTATAAAGGGTCAAATAATAATGTAAACAGCAGGTGTATGATTAAGCATAGGATGAAAACCTAAAACTTTAATCAATCGGTTTATATTTATGTAAAAGTTTAAAACACAAACCTTTGTCGAGTTGAATCCAGCGCAAGAGTGGCGCAGCCTTATGACGTCATACGTCACGCCAAAATAAAAGTATTTTCTTTTGTTTAGCTTTTTTGCCACTCACTGTTGCAGTCATGACTTACTGCTATTTTTCTCCCTCGTTTTCTACTTCACACTTGCTCTCTCTCTCACACACACAGACACAGATATTCAGTATTTGAAGTTAATAAAAACCTTTAATCTAACACTTTTAGGACAACTTTGAAAAACGTTTTTAGGGTCATTAACACCATAAAGTGCCTTTGAGACATCAACATTTTCAAGATTTTTAAGAAATGAATGTTGGTCAAGCTCCTGCACTTTTTACAAACAATCTACAAGCAGAAAAACAGTAAACAAACCTCAAACCCTTGTCAAAAAATCCTTAAGGATTCCAGTAGGATTTCTTTATAGGATTCCAATTAGAATTTCTATCATATTTTGGAACCTTTCCTAAAGGATTCCAATAGGATTTCTGTATTAGATTCCAACTGAAGTTCTAAAAGGAATTCTGTACAGAAATCCTATTGGAATTCTTTAGGAAAGTTTCCAAAACATGATAGAAATTCCAATAGTATTTCTGCATAGGATTCCATGTAGAATTTCTATATGTTTTTGGAACCTTAAAACCTAAAGGAATCCATTCGATTTTCTAATACAACTTAAAGGACAAGTATATAGGATTTTAATGAAATTTTTATGGAATCCTAAATGTAGACTTTTCTTTTGTATCTGTGACTGTCTTTTGAAATCTCAACTTGACACCTTAATAATTGTGCCACCTCTATTAGAGAACAGCATTAGTGCACAAACCTTTGATAATATTGATTTTAAAAGGGGCAACAAAATGATGTCCTGTTGTTTCAACATTGTTCATTTTTAATTCACTTTTCTTTTATATTTACAGATAAAAAATATTCACACACAAAGTTCTAAAAAAATTACACAAAATTGTGGTGTCTTTTTGTCATTTTGCACTCATCAGTGCATTTTTGGGAGAAGGCCTTCCTTATTTGGCTGGCTTCAACATTATATATATTTTTGATGTAACCTGTCAGAGAAAAGAAAACGAAACATATTTAGACACACCTCCATCTGACAGCAAAACACCCCCCAGCCACAGCACTCAGCAGTACCCAAACCAGCCACAGCTTATTTAAAAATGTACATTTAAAAATGTTTACTTTATATTTGATTTAAGAGAAGAATATAGACTGTTTAACAAAACTAGTAACTCGTAAAGAAAAAATTAAACCTGACTCCACATAACACACAGATTTTAAGATTTATAAATGTATAATTGTCTGACCATAATTAATACTTAATTAATACCATTTATGTAGACTTATTTTATTTGAAATTTCTTTTATATTTTTTTCTATCTGCCAAGTGAATAATACTCTGATAAATAATTGACAAATTTATTTTAATGCTAAATCTCAAGCCCTGACATAGTTTTTAAAGTAGATAGCAAAGTGTAAAGTTTAACATTTTTAATATCTTAATATATGACAATATTGCCAAGATATTTTTTTTAGTAAAAAAACCTACCAATGATGTCAGAGACTTTTTCAGAGTCCAGTCGTGGCTTAACTGCTTTGCCTCTGAAGGGATTTGAACATTTGCCAGTGTAGCAGTGTGTACCAAAGGTTGTTCCTTCCAAACACAGCTACTAGTAGATTTTCTTGGGCCTTTTTGGGGTCAGTGCAATTCACATGGGCAAACTGTTCACCTGTGATTGAATTATTGGGGCCAATTCTCACCTAAAAATAGTGATCAAAAAATGAACAAGAAAATAGTTTAAACATTTTTAGAGCTGCTTCACCAGCAAAAGGTGAATTCTAAGATCAAGAACATCAAAGTTGTATAATCATAATAATGACAAAAATATGGAATTTCTGTTTATTGCATTAAATAATAAGTTCCATGGTCTGTTGAAATTATTGATTCTGATTGACTGGAATGTGTCCAATATAAGAAATTAATTTAATATTTCATTCATTCATTCCCTTAATCAATCAGAGGCCACCACAGCGGAATGA